TTTTCCTCAAGCCCTGCAGGATGTGGGGGCCATACACAACTCTACCGGAGGGTCAAATGTCTTTGCATGCCTCCATAGGTTGTTTTTCTATTGCAATTTTCTATTTTCAATTGCATTATATTTCTTGGAATCACACTGTCACTGATATGTCGCCAGACTTCTGATATCTCCCCGTCTGCTATAGTTGTCCTGTGAATAAATAATAGGAAATTGAGATTAGACGAATAGTTGAAAGTTTTGCTTTATGTCGGCTTAATTTCTTGATTGATATACTTACTATTTCTGCTATTGCCTCTTGTGCTGCAAGAGTCTCACAATGCTTAGACAGGTTTGTCCACAACTTTCACATCTGAAGAAAGAGAGGAGATTTATTAATTTTCGTTAAGAATAAATAAAGCAGTCTATATGATTCAGAATGGAAAAGCTAATAAATCCAATATCTCATGTTTTATTTAAAAAATATTTTACTGAATTTTGGAAAATAAACCAACTAATAAAAGGGTTTAGTCAGAAAATTACAAGCATTCGTGGCTCCAAATACTTGAGAAATCAGACTATACAATATAGACCGGTATGAGTGAAATGTTAGGTGAACTTGTTAACACTTTGATTCAATACGCAAATAAAAGTGAATGCGTAATAGTATGTTACAATGAGCAGCAATCAACAATGAGTATATATCCTCACTGATTAAAAAAATCTAACTGGAGGTGCATGAACTATTTGAAACCATAAGGAGTAAGTAAATATGTAATTTCGGCAAATGGGCAACTACGTACCGTACTGAATTAATAACTTCGTAGTATTTGACAAAGGCTGGCTTTCCCACATGTACTTAACAGTGCGATGCCCGGGTGTGAGATACAACAATAGTATTCACCTTACCTTTTACCGATTTCTTCTTACCCCAACTTTCAAAAATATCATTAAAATCGACAACAACTGTCAAAGCAGGCACGAACACCATTCGTGCTACGCCTTGAAAGCAGCACACATCCGCTCGTTTTCGTCTCGTCAAGTATGTGCATTGGAGCGTGCTATCGAATACGATCTTCGGACAAAAATGCCGGAGTTGCGCATCATGTTGTTATATGTCATTGCCCGCACTGACACGCAGTTCAAAATCGACGAATGGACGACAGCATATCATAAAAATATACGCCTTCAATGTTTGCCAATTTAACGAGCACACAGCCAAGTGTGTGTGCACTTTCCATGGAGCGACAAGGTAAGCAAATTCAGAAAAATAATTTGTTATCACATTTCCAAAAAATAAACGCAAAGAGGTATCATTTCGTTATCGTAACACTGTATTAGCCATGCAAAAAGGTACCAGCATGTATTTTAAATGTGCAGCGAAATCGACAATTCAAATTAACATGATATACAAAATACCGTAGTGATGGACGGAAAGAAACTTGTCTGATATGAGATGTATTTTTCTGCGGCAATTCATTACAGAGCATTACCGAAAGCTCCTCTCCCACCACCACCATCAACACGATCCAGGGTACGCCACATCATGTTAAAACAAAAGAGCAATGCTCGTCGAGATGAAATATTTTAAATACTGAACGAAGCTGGATCTATGGAACGACTACTGAAAAATGTTACGTCACGTCCACTAGAATTAAAATACATTAGACCTCTGGTTGCCCACCGTAACACGAGTTCGCAAAATCGAAACGGAAGACAGCGTTAATTAACGTAGGCCGTCATGCTTTGCCAAATAAAAACGGTGTTCTCATGAATAAAATTCTGGATGAAATATCAGATATCATAGGACATTATGGAGCAAATAAAAGTAATAGCACCCTAGCGACATCAAAAATCTTTAACAACCGAAAATTCGCATGTAATATGTCCAGTAATTAAAGAGAAAAGCGATTTTTCACAACAACAATAACGAAAAGAAGAAGAAAAAAGATAAAATTTTTAACAACACAGAGAGATGCTCAAATATATGGAAATACACGAAAGACAAAACGAAGTAGTGCGGAAATGCAAATTGTCACAGTAGATTACTGGTGCCGCAGTCGTCACGACTTTGCCTGCCCACCAGATCACGAACGCGGAATCGCCACAAAGTGCGCAATTTTTAATTTCGATGACGTCACGGAAAACCAGAAAACGAATCCTCAGAGTTTTCAAAAAGATTAAAAGCATTCTACCAAAAAATACAATCTCGAATCATTGAAAAGTTCAAAGCAGTCCAGCAGCGCTCTGACATAACAACAAGAAAAAAAAAACGCTAACAACAACATAATACCAAAACCATCCATATGCACATTTCGTGTTCAAAAAGCAAATGTCAAATATTTGGAGGTCCAATAACTAGCTGCAGTGCCGGCAGCTTTGCGGCTCATACACAAATGCGTCTGAGTACCGCGTTCGCAAAATCAAAACGCAGGCATTTTGAAAAGGTAGATTTTCTGACAACACGAGGAAAAAGAATACCAACAACAACATTGGCTACGATGCTGCACTAAAATTAGGATTTCGGACCTTTATTAGCTTACGAAAATTTCTTGCAGCGCCTAACTTTGTTATCAGAGGTAGCCGATGATTACGCGTGAGGGTATTTGACTGGTAGGCCTGAATGAATTGTTATCTTTTACCCATACTAGCGTGCTTCCACACATGGAACTCAAGATTGGACAACGGAATCAAGCGTTCATTTTTGCCAAATGGTTTGCGCCCGATTAGGGATTTGTTCAAAAAGAAATGTTTTGAAATAGTTGTTTTAAATCAAGTTTTTTTGCCTGTTTTGTTCAAAATGGCTGTACTATTTGAATTTTTTGTATTAAATAGGTTGAAGATAAATGAATGTAAAAACTTGCCAAGCGCTTCTTATTCGCAATAAATCTTTCAAAACGCCACAAATATCGACAGAGGCTCATGCACACCTTCTCACCTTGCGAAAATTAAAATGCGATTGAATAAATTTGTTTGTATAACTTTGAAAAACTCTATCACTTCAACCTTAAAAACAAAGTATGCTAAGCATAAATTAACCGAACAGTTTTAACCATAATATTGCCTTCTTTTTATGGGAAAAATGTCAATATGTCAATTTTTCTTACTCAAACATCTCTCTGATATCTCGGCTAAACATTCCTGGTAAAATCTTATGACTTTGGTGGAGATACAAACGTGGCGATGATTGTACGCAATAGAAGTAAAAGTCAAGATAAAAAATTTAACTTACATTTTTGAAATTATAATTCTGGTTGCGTGTGCAACTGCCAGAATGCAACGATTTGGCGTAGTTTCGCGGCGATGCAGGGGGTATTTCAATAAAAAATACCAAAAATAAAATTGATTTAAAAACAAGCCCTTGTTTTAAAATACGATGTTTTTTTAGAATTGATAAAAAAACAAAACCCTACGCCCGATAGCAAAAGTATATACCTGGAGCAGTGCCGGATTAACTATCAAACAATATAAGCACGTGCTTAGGGCACCAGGCAAAGAGGGGCACCACAGAAATTTTAGAGCAGAATTTTATATAGTTTATCGGTGTTTATTGAAATAATATGAGTTCAGCAGAAGACTCAAACTTCAAAATGTTCGCGTATTTTTCGTCTTCAAGTATCATATTAACTTTCTTTATTAAAAATAAACACCGAAACTTTTTTTGGACACGAAATGGGCCTATGAGTCGTTTTCTTAAATTGTTGTTGTTTTTACTTTCTAGTATTCTCCTTGTTGCTGCATTTTTGTTTTAAAAATTTTTTTCCTCTTCAACAATTGAACCAATGAACTATTTACACTACGTGGCGGTTCCACGATCGCATTTCAACGATCTAGTGGTCGGCGAAGTCGTTTTTTTTTATAAGGTAGACCAGTGTGGTCCAAACCCTGTCATGCTAATACATTCCGTGCGATGATTCCGTGATTCAAACCCTCTTTTTAACGCTTTTGTGACTTTATTTTTAGTAAAAACACTATTCCGTTTTTAAGCGTCGGCCATGTGACAGTTAGTGACAAAACGCAGCGCCGACTTACCGCCGCGCCTGGTTGGTATTGACGATGGCACTAAGCTTGCTCACGCTGCAAGTTTTTAAAATACTCAATATAACGATTTCGTAATAAATGAGTGTCGCAAGAAAGGTGCGAAAACGTATTTCCTTGCCCATCACACAGTGTCTGGTTTGATTGCAAGTAATATCTGTCACGAAAGAATATAATTTGAAGCGACATTAAACGAGCGACCTCCTCAAAAGTGTTTGTGGTCCTTCAACCTAGCTACCCTGAACCACCCTGAGGTAGACTACTAGGTACCGGTAAAATTTCAAACTATAGTTGTGACTTGTATACTTTGGTATTTTGACTCACGTTGAGACTGGAGGCATGAATCTTTATTGTCACACTCCCTCAGGATTAGAGCTCAACCGATATATCGGCTTGTTATTGCGTGTTTGCCGATATATCATATCGACAGTAAACGACCGATATATATATATCGGCTATATATAACAGTTAAAAAAAATAAAAATGTTCGTAAAAGTTGTTTTATTTACTGTTGGTTGTGATTAGTTTTAATGGATAATACACTTATGTGGTTTATTGTTTTTAAAATTAAATTACACATGAAGGGGCACCAAAGTCTTCAGTGCTTAGGGCACCAAAGGGGCTTAATCCGCCCCTGACCTCGAGACATACAAACTTGTGTTCCAAACACTAGGTCAAGATATGAAAAGAAAGTTGAACCTTCGCATGCAAATGAGCAAGGTTTTACAATTCCTGAATACCTGGGGTTAAACTCAACAATGTTTAAAAGTCTACTCTTCCATAATAGTCAATTAAACATCTCGGCAAATATTTCAGTACTACTTTGCATCGCACCAACCATTCATTTTCACGCATTCATCACTCAATGGAAAATGACTCAAAAATACTCTTAGCTCATAAATAGCCATATTATATGACAACTCACTGTCTCTGCGTTACAGCACACTAAAACGCCAACCTTTTAATACCCGGAAGCACAACGAAACAGCAGTCAGTATCCTAACAGTCATTTCCCTGTGGCAGTTAGTAATGGCTTCACTTCTACTGTTGTGTTCTTCGTAGTTCATCAGTGAAAATTTTCTTGCAAAGTTAACTCAGTTGATGGTTAATTTATATTGTAAAAGTACAAACATATTTTTACGCCAGAGAAGAGTCAAGGATTGACATCTCTACACGTGTGGATGTCTGGTAAGTGAACATAAACGGTAGTATACAAAATTGTGTTGCAGTTTGACCCAGATTGAATTTTGCGAATGCGCCATCAAAAACTAACGAGCTATACAAATAATACTTAAAACTAAACTCACACTTGCTGTGTATATTCATTCAGATACATTACTCGTTAAATGATTGTCCATTGTTTTTTCATTTCATTCTTTTTATGAAAATTTGATTTTTTTTATTCGTGGTCGCGCCTCTTTATGTGTAGAGAAACAGTATATTGAGCTTCGGGACTGGAGTTAGTATATTCTTGCTTCTACGTGTATAGTTAGTTCGCTTGAAATAAATGCATCTGAGGCGCATTTCGTGCATAACATGGATCTTGGTTATCCTTGCAGTCGTTCTGGTAAAATTCAAGCGATTGTATGTCTTGACGTAGCCATACCAATACCTCGAACAATATAATAAGTTAAAAATATATTGTGTACATTAAACCTATTACTGAAAACCTTAAAGCGGAAACAATTGCAATAATGTCTAGGAAATAAATGCAGCAAGGTGCGAAGTCCTATTATGATAAGACAATTATAATTTTGATAGTGCCCAACCAAACATGGTGTTTAGATACGATCCGTTTTTCAAGCCTGGCCGCACATGCCGAATCGATGCTTTCCTAAATGTGGGGTCGTAACTTCAACTTCAAGATTATAGACAGAATACGTTGAAAATTAGTTGATAATATTACTAAGATTTTTCAGGTACTTGATTTTGCATTTTTCTTGATTTCTTCAATAAGAAAATACGACTACGAAAAGAACGAACTTTTAGGTTACATTTCATTACCAGATATAGTTCCTAAAGGTAGTATCATTCTAACTAAAGTTATTGCTAGACCTTGATATATACTTCAGAAATGTTGAATCGATGGTAATTTTTTTTTAAATTTATTGTGCAAAAGGTATAATATCAAATTTGTTTCCGAAATGCTACATTGGGCTTGGCAGTCGTAATTAAGTGCGGCGAGTAGGAGAAGCTCAGTTAGGCAGTTGGTAACAAAAACGTAGCGCTGGATAAGAGACTGGTATTTTCGGTAATGATTAAAAGCAAAAAAAGTTCCCTCCTGCGCCATGGCAAGCGATCTAAAGAACATAGGTATGAATAGGTTATTTAGTGTACCAGTTATAAGTTGATCTGTTGTATAAAGACTAGTAGAGCCCGGTACATTTCAGGCTTCAAATAGACATCGGTGACTTTTGCGAGAGAACCTTATGTGCGAACAATCAATTTGGTCAAGAATAGGATTTTCAAAATTTACCCTAATCATTTAGCCCAAGTTTTATATTTCTCCTAACGCAAAACTTGTAGTCAAATCCGGTGCTTCCCGTTCTTGACACAGTCATTAGTAACATTAAATCAACTTAGATGTTGCTGACAGTCAGTTTATAATGTAGTAGAGACAGGCACGTTTAAACAATGTTTCGCTCTTTTTCGAAATGTACATCTTGAGAATGGATAGGGAAGTGAATCTACGCCAAATCCATTTCTTCCTTCCTTGTCGAGTATTGTTCGAAATCGCGTTTGGGTCAGCACCTTTATACATACGCTTGAAATCCTGCCTGGTTAAAAATGTCTCAGATTGTTACGTCATCATTAGCTTATTGGTCATTGTGAGTGATTAGGCATTTGATGCTCGGAGAAATACGCAACGTAGCTAACATGGTGGGAATCAATTTAAATTTTCAAATTTGTCATATTAGTTTCGACAAAATTTGATAGGGATTAGTCGTCGACTCAAATTTGTAAGCGCTTATCTATTTCTATTCACTAAACCCACAATCGCTACGCTTCAAACCAGCTTTTCACTCGTAAGATTTGTACGCAAAAATATTGCTCCATCCACAGTATTACTATATATTCGGCCCACACTTTATCATATATATTTTTTTCGCAGCAGTCAAGTCCCGTTATTGCAACCATCACACCCGTCGGAAATGTCATGTAATGACTGTGTACAAGTCACATGGACGAAATGTTGCTGCTGTTGTTCGGGAACACAGCATGGAAATAACTTATCGAGGTGAGAACCAAATTAAAATTTGATTAATAATTTTTTTAAATAATTACGTATAAACTCTGCAATGTTTACCCCTTGCATGGCCTTAAGAAAATATTCGAGTTTGTTTGCAGTTTGGTCTGCATATGTACATGATCATGCCCTAATAAATGTATTTGGCTCATTGCCATTTGGTGCAAAGTGGGTGTGACATTGTATGTGTGTGTGCCGTGTATTTGGCTCATCGTCATTCGGTGCAAAGTGGGTGTGCCATTCTATGTGTGTGTGTCATTAATGTATTTGGTTCATTGTCATTAATGTATTTGGCTTATTTTCATCGGGTGCAACGTGGGTGTGCCATTGTATGTATATATGTGTGTCATTAAGGTATTTGGCCCATTGTCATTTGGTACAAAGTGGGCATGTCATTCTATGTATGTGAGTCAATAATGTATTTGGCTCATTGTCATTTGGTGCAAAGTGGATGTGCCATTCTGTGTATGTGTGTCATTGATGTATTAGGCTCATTGTCATTTGGTGCGAAGTTGGTATGTCCAATATATACGTTTGAAACAAATCATTATTTCAGATATACCTGTAGTAAACATTTATGTCGTTTTATTATTATTTGTCTTCTCAGCTTTTTGTTACTGCATCTAGATTTAGGCTAGCCTAGTTTCCAAATTTTAATCTAACGTTGATACGATGGCATCTACTTCTACTGTCTTTCTTATGTTGATAGCAGTTAGCGTTTTCAGGTTCATAGAATAACAAAAGTAACAGCTCAAAAATATCATATCGCTTGCCTTAATTTATTTTCACAATTTAGCAATTCTACCCCAAAAGATCCACAAAACTCTCAAGTTCATATTGAAGTAATTGAAAATGAGCCAAAATCAATGAATGCTGAAACAGCGAGTGGAGAATCTTCAAATGGCATACACTATGAAGCTGACGTGAGTAAATTTATAGCTGCAATGATTTGAACATATTTCCCTCCGTGTGGCTATTCAATTATAAAAAGTAAAATCCGATATTCAAAGACGACAATTGCACAGACAACATATTTTGATAACTAGTTTTGAAAGTTATTTTGCCACGGCGTTTTTGCCTCATGAACAACGAAAATAATTTTCATAGTGTGAGTATTCTAAGCTACTCAATAATTCCAGTACTTTTTCTTGCATTAAACAAAGGTATCCGATCTGGATGACGGGGAAAAATACCGATATAGTGGAAGAAACTTTGATACGATAGACCTGGGAGATGATCCATCTGATGTCAAGCTATCTGATAAAGAAACAACGCCTACTGCCATTCCATCTGTATCGCGCCTACAGGTAGAAGGCAACAATCGGAACAAAAAACTGTCCGGAAAATTTAGATTTACTAGTACAAAGCGTGGAGCTAAAAATGAATCTGTATATAGTAAGACATCACAATTTTAGTCTTAAAATATTGAATTCATGTGGATTTCCATTTTGAAAAACTTTGAAGTCTTTAAAACACTTTTACACATACTATTTGAACTAGTACAAGGCAGAGTACCAAACATGGTACCTGTCATCAAAACTATGTTACACAACATTGTATATATGTGCGCACATTGCAGCCAACACAGATGGTTGCAGCCAAAACCAGCAAAGTCCATCCATATTAACATGAGTTCTGACTTCGGATATCCAAGGTTTTAATTAAAAAAACACTCACGAATGAAAATACATTTCAAATTGACCATTCTGCTATTTTGTTTCGCCAGCCACAGACGATATCCCTTTCTATTATATCTCTTTGTTTCTAGAATGAAGTAGGAACCCCGCTCCCTACCACACACCGAGTACTAACACGAACAACTGAGTTATTGAAATATAAACGTTTTCGTTGCAAATTGTTTTATTCCATGAACTAAAAAAGGGGTTCGAAATATATTATTTATATATTAAGTTATTCGTTGTCTAATTATCATTTTTCTAAATCATTAAATAGAAGCGATGCAGGAAAACTGTGATCAAACTATTCAGTTTTCTTCTTATTTTCTACTTCAACGTAGTTGCGAGCGATGTATTTCAGTCCTTCGTCGATGATAATGACTGGAAGAGAGATCTTGAGAACCATCATCCATTCCGCGAAGCTTAGTGGGCAAATCTGGAAAACCATTGGGAGAGGGTCGACGTAAAGGATAACGAAATGAAGAGATAGTGAGAGAAGGATAGCACCGATGAGCCAAAGATTTTGCCATGGTGGCATGACGAGAAGCGATTGATTTTCAGAGACGGAGTTAAGAGCGTTGCACAATTCGATGATGACGAGGACGGACAAAGCCATGGTCATTGGATGAGGATCTTCAAAGATCTTGCAGGTGATTCCTTCGAACAATTCTGGGCTTGAATGGCACGACATATAGTGAGTTACTTGCCACCAAGACATCTGTGGACCGGTTTCGGAGTAGAGGAACCACCATGTGGATGCTCCTACAGTTGCAGCTCCGACGTAAACACCAATAACACAATATCTGCACAACAACCAGCCGTTGATAAGAGTGTCTTTAGTGGATCGTGGCTTCTTGTCCATGATGTCCAAATCTGGTGGGTTGAAGCTGAGAGCAGTGGCTGGAAGACCATCGGTAACCAAGTTGACCCAGAGAAGTTGAACTGGAATGAGAGCTTCAGGAACGCCGAGAGCGGCGGCGAGGAAAATGCAGACAACTTCGCCAATGTTAGATGAAATTAGATACCGGATGAATTGTTTCATATTGTTGTAGATTGCACGTCCTTCTTCAACAGCTGCTACGATTGAAGTAAAGTTGTCGTCAGCAAGAACCATTTCTGCAGCGGTTTTGGCGACTGCAGTTCCGCTTCCCATAGCAATTCCGATTTCAGCTTTCTTGAGAGCTGGGGCGTCGTTGACACCATCGCCAGTCATAGCAGTAACGTCTCCATTAGCTTGAAGGTATTCGACGATTTTGCTTTTATGTGATGGTTCAACGCGAGCAAAAAGTCGTGCGCGGAGGCAAGCTTTAAATTGTTCGTCTTTAGACAAATCATCAAACTCGCGTCCCGTGTAAGCCAATCCTTCAGTACATTCTTCCTCGCCAAAAACTCCAATGCGGCGGCAAATAGCTTCAGCGGTGGCTTTGTTATCTCCAGTGATGACGATAACTCGAATTCCTGCAGCTTTGCATTCTTGGATCGCTTGGTAGACTTCGGTACGAGGTGGGTCAAGCATGCCTACAACTCCGACAAATGTGATTTCTGTTTCGTAGTTGGCAAATTTGGTAGACTCTGTCAAATCCATACTTGAAGGATTGGCTGGATTATCAATGGTTCCTAGTGCAATGCATCGAAGAGTATCTTTTCCGGTTCCGTATTCTTTTACAACGGACATGATTTGTTCACGAATGGCGGGTGTCATCATCATCTTTTGGTTTCCTACTCGAACGTAAGTGCATCTATCCAAAATACCTTCTGGTGCTCCCTTGACAAACATTTTTGGTCCAATCGGAGATTCTGGGTTGGCAGGTGTGCAATAAGCACTCATAGATTTACGATCTCTAGAGAATTCAAGAGTAAACACTTTCTTCATCATGTTTTTGATGGTTTGGCAGCAAGCGTTGGCTCGTTGAGCTTTGCTCAAGCTGGATACGTCGGTGTTGAATACGTTCATCTTTTCGCAAAGTACAGTGAGAGCAGTTTCAGTGGCTTCTCCGACTTTTTCGTAGATACCCTTGCTTTCATTGTAATCCAAAGATGAGTCGTTGCACAGTGCACATATGGTAGAGAGTTCAACGAGTGAGTCGTAGCTTCCAGGATTGATTTTCTTTCCATCAAGCATGACATCCCCAATAGGCTCGTAGGTTGATCCAGAGATTGTGAATTGGTTGAATGTTGCTTGCTGCGCTCCAATGGCTTTCAAGACAAACATGCGACAGACGGACATTTGGTTTGTAGTCAAGGTACCGGTTTTATCGGAGCAAATGACAGACGTGCATCCCAGCGTTTCTACAGATGGCAGACTACGGACGATTGCGTTCTTGGTTGCCATTCGTCGAGTTCCAAGTGCCAAGCAAGTTGTGATGACTGCTGGAAGTCCTTCTGGGATTGCTGCAACGGCCAAGGCAACGGCAATTTTAAAATAGTAGACTGCTCCTTTTATGACGGATCCGCCGTGAATTGGATCGTTAAAATGACCAATGTTGATTGCCCAGACAGCTATGCAGATGATAGTAATTATTTTTGAGAGTTGGTTTCCGAATTCATCAAGTTTTTGCTGGAGTGGAGTCTTTTCATTTTCAGTTTCGGCCATCTCGTTCCTAATTTTTCCAATTTCAGTGTTACTTCCAGTGCCGACAACAATTCCTACGGCCTTCCCAGCAGCAATGTTGGTTCCGGAGAAAAGCATATTCTTCTTATCTTGGTTAACTGCACGGAGATCGGGAACGGCATCGGTATGTTTGATAATGCTGACGCTTTCACCAGTAAGAATTGCTTGGTCGACTCGAAGGGTTGTGGACTTGATTGCAATAAGTCGGATGTCAGCTGGAACTTTGTCCCCAACAGCTACTTCGACAATGTCACCAGGAACAATCTCACTTGCTCGAATTCTTTGAACTGATACACGATCTTGTCGAAGAACTTTGCCCATTTCTGGTTCATATTCTTTTAGAGCCTCAATGGCGCTCTCTGCATTTCTCTCTTGCCAGATTCCAACGACGGCGTTAGCGATGAGAATCAACAGGATTACAAATGGTTCCACAAAAGCAGTGATAGTTTCTTCTCCGTCTTCAAAAAGTGCAAGAACAAAGGAAATAATGGCCGCCAACAGTAGGATTCGGACGAGAAGATCTTCAAATTGTTCTACAAGAAGTTCCCACAAGCTTTTTCCTTCTTCGACTGGAAGTTCGTTAGGCCCATATTTCCTGCGATTTTCTCTGACTTGTTCTGGTTTCAAACCAGTTGTTTCGGAAACGTTGAAGAATTCGAGAACCTCCTTGTTCTCTTTCGCAAATGCGTGTTCCATCGTGAAGTTCGGTGGAAATATGGAGGATTAAACTGTTCAGATTTTCTGAAAAGAAGGTATATTGCCATAATGCGAATGCTATTTTTCATGTCAAAATAAAATTCATGACTATGCATGAATTATTAGTATGACTTTCGTGTTTAGCGTAGCATATAATCCCAATTGCTAGTGAGGTAATAAGCGTTTTTTCGATCAAACGAATTACTTGTATTTGCAATAGTACGTAATAAACAAAATAACTAAACCAGTTGTATAACTTACCTTTCTTTGCTGCTTGATGCTTGCAGAGAAGAAAACCTTTGACTGATATTTTGAAATGAAAGCAGGAATCTTTTATACTACATCACTTTCACACCTTACGTAGGGTGTCCTTCATTATGAACTATCATTTACTTCATTCAAAAACTGTTAAATTTCAGTTAACGCGTCACCGACATGTTGCACATTCACAGCTGCTAGTGACGCAAATGGTGTCGCGGGGCATAGGTAGGCCATAAAGCGTGTTACTGGAATAGAGTTGCGAAACCCAAATGCGTTCTATGGCCGCAAATTATATTTCAGCTTTTCCGTGTGCCGCACTGTAAATAAAAATAGCACACTATAAATTAAATTTTTAATTTTGTGAAATATGAATATTGTGAATAAGGAACAATGGTTTCAAGCGGTAGTAAGATAATGAAAGTATACATGTTTATTACTTCGACTAGTGGGCCTACGAAACCGTTTTTTTAATGTTATTTCCTATTTTTCAATATCGACGCCGCTGTCCGAACGCTTGGTGCTACGGAGGAACATCACAACTATGAAATTGGCATATTGCGATGATTTGGTTCGCTGGATATAAAACTGAATTTTGCTAAGGCTGTCATCAAACAAACAAATATTTGATCATTTGAATTTTTTTCAATTTGAAGTTTTATCAAACTAGTTTTTCAAATAATAGCTATTCTAATTGAATACTATCATACAGGTGCTTCTAGACCTTGATATGAAAAATATACTTGCGTAGAATATTCATTCGACATCACGGATCACAGCAGCATATTGGTACCAATGACCAACAATGTGTTGTACATTACTGATGTACCATGTGTAAGGTGGTGTGTATACACGCACAACTATATTGCATTTGTAGACTTTATTCTCATTCGAAACAGAACACATTCCAGATAGATAAACTTAAAACAGTTAATGCACACAGTACCAACTCATAACAGCTAATGTGACACAGTACACGTGATAAGTACAGAACTTAGAAGTCACCTTCAGACATGAACGGACACGGGTCAAAGGTCACTATATTACATCCCTCCAAACCTTAATAAAAAAAACACAAAAATTGACATCGATGAACGACAAACCATATGAAGACTTGATATCAAAATTTTAGGATTCAGCACACAAACTTTTAGTTCAAGTCTTCACACAGATAAATATCGATATCAACTTCATGAAATACAATGCAAAACACAGTACACATTAGTTTCAAAATACAGTTAAGCAGTCAATACTGTAATTCGTCCCATATGAAAATCTTTAAATCTACTTGGCACTTTTGGACATCTTCTAGGACGATCTCTAACACTTGGAACAGGGGGAACAGAAGGTGCTGGACTTTCAGCAATAGGATCTGCTGTTTCATTATCAACATTCAAATTAGCAGTATCGTCAGAAATATCATTATCATGTAAAACATCAGCACCAGTGATATTTGTAAAACGCTTGCGAAAGGTACAATCATTCACTTTTTTAAACAGAGAAGCATTTCTAGTTTTACTGCCAATATTGGGACTTTGTGCAGTAATCATAGAACCTTTTACATTTATAACATCCATAGGCTCAGGTCTATATGCTGAAGAAAGCTTATTGCTTCTATTTTGTCTCATGATCACGGAGTCACCAACATGAATTTGTTCAGTCGGCTTTAAACA